GTCTTTAATGATTTAAATCAGACAGGTCTTTCATAACTAGAAGGCTTTATATAATTTAAATATATTAAAATAAATATATTTAAATATTTAAATTGGGTAGGTCTTTCGCAGCCAGAAGGCTTTCTTTAATGATTTAAATCAGAGACGTCTTTCACAACCAGAAGGCTCTCTTTAATGATCTAAATCAGGTAGGTTTTTCACAACCAGAAAGCTTTCTTTAATGCTTTAAAACAGGTAGGTCTTTCATAACCGGAAGGCTTTCTTTAATGATTTAAGTCAGAGAGGGCTTTCGGAACCAGAAGGCTTTCTTTAATGATTTAAATCAGGGAAACCTTTCACAACCAGAAGGCTCTCTTTAATGATTTAAACCAGGTAGGTTTTTCACAACCAGAAGGCTTTCTTTAATGATTTAAATCAGGAACACCTATCACAACCCGAAGGCTTTTTCAACAATTTAAATCAGAGAGGTCCTTCACAATCAGTAGGTTTTATTTAAGTTCAAAGTCTGTAGACCCAGTTCTAATGATGATAAATTTGATACTAAGTTTTGCCAATGTAACTAAAAGGTGTATTTATATATAAGCTATTAGCCCCCCCCCAAGTTCACAAGTTTCTGTAGTTCACTTCAGGGGGTTATGTATCAACTTCGTATACTCTTCACTCCTGCTGGATATTTCTTAAATTTCGTTGTTCTTCAGTATCAATAAGACTCAACCTTTATTTTACTTATATAATCAACAAGCTTTGTTGTTAGGCTTAAGTGATGGAGTAAGTACATTCCGAAAAAATACGATGAATTATCCAAATAAAACGTCTTCATCTTTATAACCGTATTTGCCTTCGTTAATTATTTAATTATCTATTCGTTTATTTGCATTGTTTATTGATACCATTTATAAATATATTTATAAATCTGTTACAACCCTATGATATCGTGGGACTTTTGAAAATATTCATAACTAAAACCTGTTTATAATTTCAATAAGAATGTTCATCTCTAGTTAACCGACCAATTGTAGTCCAGTTTAAAAAAGCAAACATAGGATTTCCTTTCTATTGACCATGAACACCAATGTCAGTAACAAAGCGGCTGTATTTTGGTTTGAGTAAAAATAACTTCACAGCATTATTTCATTGGCAATCGATCGGCTGCTGTTCCCTAACGGCGAGATTTACAGTTTTATTCTATTTTGTAAAAGAAATTTCTGTCGCACATATTTCATCTTACAACTCTCTAAAACTTCCTACAAAGGTGTATTTAAATAACATCAAACTCAGTTCACAACATTATAATGTATTTAAATAACATCAAACTCAGTTCACAACTTTCTAATGTATTTAAATAATATCAAATCAGTTCACAACATTCTAATGTATTTAACTAACATCAAACTCAGTTCACAACATTCTAATGTATTTAAATAACATCAAACTCAGTTCACAACATTCTAATGTATTTAAATAACATCAAACTCAGTTCACAACATTCTAATGTATTTAACTAACATCAAACTCAGTTCACAACATTCTAATGTATTTAAATAACATCAAACTCAGTTCACAACTTAATATTTTAAACACTTAGTAAAAAAGTGGCTGGACTTTATGAGCATACTAGAGGAACTTTTAATGTCCTGAAACATTTTTTCGTCGTGGGTTTAGACGAGTCTTGTTTTTATGAAATTATCTTCCCTCCGATTGGTTTTCATTTCTAGATGATATACTGTCTATTACAACCAGATGTTTGAAGACCAAATACAGTCTCTTTTATCATCTGCCATTCTAGGCCTGAGTTAGAAAAAAATCGTAAGAATACAAAATGTAATTAGAGGTAGATGTTCATGTGATGTCCATTATTCCCGTTCTTGTGTTGTGCTTTTGGTTGATAACATTTTCATGGATTTCGAGGTTACAGCTAGTTATAACACAGCACTGTATTTTCTTTTGCTGTTTTATATTCCAGTTTTGTTGTTGTTGTTTTGGAGGGATAAGGGTAACGTGTATAATATTACATATCACACGTACCGGTATTTTTCGTTACTATATTTCTCATTACTATTTCATGACTCAATTTTTTTTTTTTTTTGGGTGTATGTGTGGATGAGGCTAATTTGTATAATGTTAGATATAACACACGACTGTATTTCTCGTTACTATTTCATAACTCAAGTTTTTTTTCTTGGGGGGGAGGGTGTAGATGAGGCCAATTTGTATAATGTAAATTTAACTCATGACTGTAATACTGTTCATGTGTTCAGCTATTGTTCTTTTTATAGGAGTGAAAAAGAAATAATGTGTACTACAGCTGCAACTCTCAAGTAAAAATGAACAAAGGGAATTAAAATTGAATAGAAGTCACACACACACACACATACA